ATCTACAACGGGAGGAGCAAAAATAGAATATTTAAATTCACCCTGTAAACTAAATATCCATTTTTCTAAATTACGGTATAAAATGTTAGCTTTTACACAATTGTTATTGTTTGTTGTAATACATGAAACTGATTGAACATTTTTAGTACAATTATAAGAATGATAATTTTAGTTTTTATTTGACAATATTATTTGCGAAATATTTTTTGCGAAATTTCGCTTTTTTGCTTCATTCATTTTTGCGAAAAAATACGTAATTTCGCAAAAAAGTGTGCGAAATATGGAAGAAATTTTTTTCGCGGAAACCCTAGTTATGTGTTACTGCGATTTTATGGTTTCAAGCTCTCTCAAAAATCTAAAAGAATTACGCCAATTATTTCTGAAAAACTTACTTAAGAAAAAATTAAATGGTTTATAGTTCTAAATGTACATGTCTTGGGCTACACAAATTGATACGTGAGTTAGCTAGCTGTAAAACGAAAGCCAATTGCTTGTAAATTGTTGCAGCATTTCATAGCAGGCAGAATCTATGTGGTGTGATTTATATCTCATATGATTGCTGGTTTCTGGTTATAGACATTTTTGATATTTAAGAACACAATTAACGTTTTTTGAACGACAACGAGTTAGTTCTACGTGAATTCTAAAGTTTAATAAACACTAAAACAATAAAAAGTTTACGATAAGCATTTTAGAACGTAAAATCATTTATTATTACCTTGTAAATAAATAGTTAACAATAAATGTATTTCCGATTTAAATCTGAAGATAAAATAAAATTTTGAAATGAAGGTAAGATTTATAATAATTATTACTTTTTTAAACACTTTGCTAAAATTTTACCAAACCAAATTGGTCTAAAGAGATTGAGACATGTAACCTTTTAGATATTATTTAGATATAAATTTTCACAATATTCTAGACATCTTTTATTTTGTTTATACTATATTTTTCGATCAACGTTTAGATCCCAATTTTTAATTTTCGAATCTCAAATCCAATTTTTCAAATCAAGATGATTAGTTTCTGAAAGTCTCAATTTCAGCTGTCCACTCTCTAGTCTAAGCCAAGGATGTAATGCAAGGAAAGTTATTTCAGAAGTTTACACATATTTTGTACTGTCTCTGGGCGGTAATGTAAACACAAGGCGGATGTCGAAGCCTGACATGAGATCCATCTTTCACATAAAAAAATCAATGAAATATTCTGGTCAGGAAACTATTATGTGAATTATCAAAATTATTAAAATTTAATGCTTTTAACCTCCTTGAATACTAAACGAACAATGATGCATCTATTCTTGTTTACAAATTCCGCCCAGAGAGAACTGGTTTCAATATGTACGCAGAGTATACGCGACATCAGCAATTAACTTTCCTTGCATTACACCCTTGGTCTCAGCTATTTTTGAACCACCCAATTACATTTGCATGCCGTAACACAACTTATATCATTATAATTATAACAAAAGGCAGTAGAACGGGTGTCCCATGTAATTAAACTTTAAAAAATTAACAAAGAAAAAAATAAAACATTTTTTTTTGACAAAATGTAAAAAACAAATGCTAAACAAATCCAGTCTATGGGAGCTAGAAATGTGCACTAATGTTGAATACTAAAAGGGGGAAACAGTATCTTTGTAATTGGCTTACAATCATAATTCCACATCCCAAGGGAGTAAAAGGAAAGGGGGGGTGAAAGGGGAGGGTNACTGCGGGGGGGGGGGCAGACCAGAATACAGATGACGAAAATATCCCCCAGTTATTCTTAGTAATTCCTTAATTGTTGATTCACTAACTTTGTAGCTACCAGATCAGCAGAACTCATTAACCCAGAGGATTAGAACAAATTATGATTCTTCCAAAACTTCTTGCAAAAAATGGGATTTGGAAAATATTTTCTATTTTAATCCCTGTATCTTGGCAACCTGATGCTTTAGAATGTAGACTCTTTATATTAAAAAAAAGTTATCATGGGCTTACATCATCAGGCTGCAAAGATACAGATATTGGAAAATTAGAATTTGTGTCTTATGTTTAGTTCTTTAAGCTTCTTTTATATTTTTCGATAATGGATGATGGATATATCTGCATTATGAACTTACAAAAAAGTGGCATTTTTGGAATTTTCATTTTTCTCAGTTTTTCAGTTATCATTTACATAAAAGAATGATCTTGATTTTTTGTTTGCATTCATAACTTGCCAATACGACTTTTCTAGAAAACAAAACAAAATATTTTATCAGTTTAACAGTTTTCATATCTTAAAGATTTTTAAATACATATGTTTTTCACACACTTGAACCTAATTAAAATTATTTTTGCTTTCTATCTGAAAAATGTAAACCATAGACTCTGTGGAAATGTTACTTTTAGATCGATTTTTGAGACAAGGAGTCGAGAATGATTGAAATTGACAAAATTCAACAAGATATATTGAATTTATAATATGTAATCGAAAAAATTGCTAGTCTCATACTTTTTCATAAGATTTAAGCTACATGAGCGACGAGGTTACAAAGTTGTATCAGTAATGTTGAATATATTTTACTTTCCCTCTTGTCTATAGTTGTTTAGTTGAATATGTACCTGTGTGAATCGGAAAGGAACCTCTTTTCCTGGCGGGTCTTTTGAAATTATTTAGAGAGTCCCTGTATGCTAAATTTAATTTCTCTAAATCATGCAGCATCTGTGCAAATCTAATTGTTTGCAAATTGTTTGTGCTAATGTTGCAAACTTACTAACAACACAATACTTGACAATTTACTTTGATTTAAGGGACTGTAGGCGCATTTTCAATGTCCATTTATTTGAAGAGGTTCTTTAAGGTTTGAAACATCTTAATCTGAGAAATATTAATAAAGATATCTTTGATTAAATAATATGAGAATTGTGATTCCATTCTTCAGCTAAATTTTAAATTATGTAGAAGTAAATACTTTTAAAGGTTATACCTTAAATCAGTGAAGCCAAAAACTTTAGTCTTTCAGGGGCGGGGAGTCTTTTCATGATACACTCTAAAGTCTTAAGTTACGGAAGTATTTCTTGATGATGCTGCAGCTTGCAAGATTGTTTTTCAAGTTCAATTTTACAATATTTAATTTTTAGCATTTTTCCCCTCAGTCTCTGTTAGATAACTACTTTTCTAAATGAACAAAACAGTTTAAAAAATACTGTTATTGTATTTATTAGATATTAATTATAAATTTATTTTCATTATGGTTGTTATGATTTTTTTTTCTTAATGTAAGATAAAAGAAAGTTTATTCAATTGGTGATATCCCTAAAATGAAGAAAAAATAACACAAATATGTAAATTGATAATAAATATTATTAATAAAAAAGATATTTTTACGAAACAAATTCTTCTTATAATCAATCTTTGTCAATTATAACTATTTTCATGCAAACAAAAAATTATATGAAATTATATATATATCAAAAATAAATAAATTTATACTTTTTACAATTTTAACAATGAAAAAACAATCCATCCAACTTTTATGCATAAATATTACCACAGTTATAGTTATCACAGCAAAATCACACATAAAATTATCAAAAGTCACAACCATATGTAATTTTTCTTTCAATTAAATTTTTCCATTTAACTATTTGCCCATGCAAGTTTGCAACAAGCTTAGAGGGATGCATAAAAAATAATAATATAATAGTAAAGGAATAAGTGAAAATATGCATTTTAGTTGGAGAACATTTTTTACACATGCAGATGGAGTATATACTAGATTATATATTTTAATGTTTTTAAGTTACCGTTAAAGATAATTTACTAAACAAACTTTTGTTTCAAAATGTAATTGTAGAGTAGGTCTGTATTAACTCAAATTAATTTTAATTTTTTCTTCAAACGAATTAAAATTGAGCTAATTAAAGCTCAGCGTTTGTTTAATTAAATAGCCAAAAGGAGTTGAGTTTTTGCCACAAACTCTGATTTTCTAATATCTATATCTTTGTAATCCAATGTCGTAGACCTTATATATTTCAAACTATTATTACTTATAGATAAAATAATCTAAGTTTGAAATATCAAAGGTTTGCACCATCAGGTTGCAAAGATATTGGGATCAGAAGATTGGAGTTTGCGGCAAAAACTCAATTCCTTTAGGTTAAAATCAGACAAAGAAATGATTACCAAATTTGATGTATTGCGAGTACTGGTTGAACTAAGTAGACTAAGGAATTGAGCCTTTTGAACAAAATCAAATATTTAAACCTCAATATCTTTAGAACCCGATGTTGTAAACCTTTGATATTTCAAGCTCAGATAATTTTATCTAACAGAATATTCATAGTTTGAAATATCTAAGGTCTGCAACATTTGGTTCCAAAGATATAGTGATTAGAAAATCAGAGTATGTGGTAAAGACTCAATTTATTTTAGCACACTTCTCTTCCACTTGAATCAAAGGACAAAAGAAGTGGTTCAGTTATTTCTGTGCAGTTCAACTACTTCTTGATATTCATTAAATCTGGTTCTAAGACTGTTGATTAGATTTCTTAAATTAGTGAATCACATGTTCAAGAAAGTGAACCTTTAATATTACTCTTAGAACCGAAAGACATAAATTTTTAAAGTGTAACATAAAATCAGCTAAATTTGCCTCTTTATTTTATGGTATATTCGTATAACATTTACTTCTTTCCCTCGTTGCTTGCCATCAAAGTTGAAACCCAGCCAGCAAAGGATTGGGTTTGGACATGTGTCAACATTTTCACAAATCTTCTATCTTTCAAATCCAACCTTTAACATGACGCATCTACTGTATACGCAAACTACCCAGCCTTACGCAAAACATTGTTGCCAAAATACTATTCGCAATAACTTCCGCTGTCTGGTTGCAATCATATAAATACCTTGTAAACTAGTAAAACCCTCGCTGTTAAAAAGTAACTATATACGTGAATAAACGTGTTTATACTCAAACTACTCTTTTCAAGTAAGTCACCTTTTTTCATAGAAGTGTTAATAAGAATGAAAAAGAGGTTTTTTTAGTCTTTTATTGAAGTACGTTTTTTAAGTTACTCAGACAGTCATTTCGGCGCGTCATTATGACCAGTACAAGGGGTCGGTCCAGTTCGCATTTAAATTGACCCTTGTCCATTGTCAGCTAGATCAAGAAGGCTTTGACAGTATGCTGAATTCTTCCTCTGCACACTGGGCAGTTCTAGAAAATGAATATTCATGATTATAAAACTATCATTGCCATGAAATGTAATTGTTTAAATGTGTCAGCAGATTAAAAACGTCAAACAAAAGATGATTTTCTATCATATCTTTTTACTAACAAAAAATACGTATTCTTTTTTGTCCTTTATCAAATTTAACGTGACTTTTGATCACTTATCAGCACACCACAAACAAACATCTAAATGCTAAATTCTTATATTTGATCATGAACTTTACACTTTGGAATTATGCTTGCAGAGTCATGGAAAACAACTATTGTACACTTTTCATAACAGTACATTAAGAAATTCTTTTTCAGAAACTTATCTAATTTCTTTCGTGGATTTTTGTCAGCTGTTTACCTGGAGGGAAACTGTACACTCTCCACAGCTGACCAGATGCCTGCATGGGAGCAGGAGGATAGAAACCTAAACATGTAAAATTATGGTATAAAAGTATCTTTAAATCATCAATAAAAATATATTCAATTAGTTACCTGTTTATCTAAACATACTTTACAAATGAGAGCAGAATTTTCTAAATCATCTGANAGTCTTTGTCACAAACTCTGATTTTCTAACTCTTATATCTTTGCAACTCAATGTTGTAAGTCTTAGATATTTCAAACTATAAATGCTGCTATATCAAATAATTAAAATTTTAAATATCAAAATTACCATCAGTTTGCAAAGATATTGGGATTAGAAAATTCAATTTCTTATTTAAAAATATCAATGTAGATTAAGAATCACACAAATCAAAATCAAAAATAGAAAAAAACATGTTAAATTAAAAATTACTTGGAAGCGTTTGGTCGTTCTGCGTTCGACTGTACTGTATTGGACTTTGTGGCGGCATATCAACATAATCTTGAAGCCTGGAACCAACAACATCTTCACCACCTTGTTCATCACGGGGATGATCGGTTTCATCTTCTCCTACATCTGGTTGGGAGGTATTAGTTTCAATTTGGGACTCAGGAAGTTGGGAATCGGAGTCTGATTCATTACCTTGGGAATCAGAGCCTGATTCATAACCTTGGGAATCAGAATTTGAATCTAAATCAGAATTAAATTGGGATTCATTGCTAATTACTCTTTCATCATTTTTATGCTCTCCTGTATTCCTTAAATGAGTTACAGGAAGAAAAGATAAAACTTCCATGTTTAAGTTATACCTGTTATTCTTGCACTGAGTTGGCATTTTTTATCTTTATCTTTATAAACTTTTATTATCAGCTATCATTCATTAGAAAATATAGACACTAAACGGAATAAAACGAAATGAAATAAAAAACTTATTACTTTTTGTAATCATAAAATTAGATTTTTAATCTTTTCAACATTCTTTTAAACATGTCGAAAAACAAGTATAATAAAACCTAAATTTTAATTGTAAGAGATAAGAATTTTTATAACAGTAAATTATGTCTGTGACCTTAGCCCAAGATGGATGCATTAAAATTTTTCTCGCCATTTTTTTTCGGGAGGCATCAATTTTGCTTCAGTATTGTTAAAACATTAAATGCAGTGTTTGATATCAATAAATTAGAAACAAAAAAAATTTTATTTGCCACCTGGTGTCATAGACCTTTTTTTCAAATTAATAATTCTGCTGCTAGATCAATTAGTCTAAGTTTGAAGTTTGAAATATCAAAGGTTTGAGTCCTCAAGATATAGAGATTAGTACTTTTATAGCTCATGTTGTTGCTGTT